TGGTGTGACAATATCACCTTTTTCAATACTAGCCGCCAAGTGTCTACGGTGCTGGAAGTTACCATCAATACAAACAATGTGATCTGGCTCCCCTGTCGGAAGAGGCCCCACGCCAGGCCCAAAACACTGGGGAAAAATTCCTGCTAGCTTGTCCTGAACTGTAAGATGGAGGCTCTTGCTGACAGCTTCTTCAGTCATGACGATCATTTCTCGATACGCATCAATGGCTGATGAGAGTGGCTGATGCCATTCACGGCACTAAAAGTTTAATTTCAAGATCAGAACATGAATACCCAAAAAAAATCATGGATGTACATTTGTTCCTCCACCTCAATTTAGGAATAAAGGATTCCCTTCATCCAGAAATTCATTAAGGGCCTCCAAAAATGGATGGAATCGCAGGCTGCAGTATTTCCACACTATGTGGAAAAATCGCAAAAGTCGGATGGTAACAACTGACTGAGGCCTGACCGGCTTACCACCAATATAACCGGCTTGAATCAGGCGCACTTGATCATTAGGGGAACATGGACACATCTTCAACTTTATCTGTTTACAAACTGGATTAGGAAACCCTTAGTAGTAATCATATAGCTAGCTCCTTTACCTCAATTGAACTTACATGTAAGATCAAGCACATCAAAAGTGCGAATGGTACCTGTACAATTACACGGTTCCTTCCAGTCCTTAAATCGAGTCTTGACATTGGACCAGTTATTGGTTCTCTGCTGACAGGCCAAGAAGACTGGAAACATAGCCGGATATTGATTGCACCAATCCTCTTCTTCTCGTTGGCGCCGTCCTGCATGAAATCCTTCGTTAAGGCCAAAAGCAAACACTTCACCAGTGAGATTGGCATCATGAGGTGGAGGACTGGGCGGTAATTGTCCAAGTTGGTCTGGTTCCTCGTCTCTATCACTCTCGTCAAAAGCTGGGTGTTCGGCCATTGGAATGATGATATTGCCTGAACCTTCTGGCACGAGTGGGTCGGCGCGATCGTATTGTTCAGCAGCGTTTGAAACAGCTTGACCAACTGTTATTTCGGCGTGGACACGGCTACGGCGTTTCATGGCAAGGCACCGAGCATCGAGCTTGTTCTGAGGTTTTCGCTTGAGGTTTTCCGGCTTCTTGGGTTTGACTTTCTTCTGGTTGGTCATATTTGAATAATATAAGATAAGACACCGTAAGATTCGATGAGTACTGATTATTTCTAACTTGCTGCACTACACCTTTTACAAAGGAGGATTGGCAAATGGGTCAATGCAAAGCTGTCACTTACCATTTTGGGGTTGTTTAGATATCAGCTTGTGAAATCACCGGTGATTAATTTCAAAAACAAATTTGATGGGCTTCCTTTTCAGCGGTGAAGTTTCATTAGTGCTACTGTGGCACTAATGTACTGGTGATGCTTCCGTCATCACAGGAATATTCACAGTGCTGTCATCCCTGGGATAAACAGAGTGCTGTCACCCCTAGGTTCTCGATGATAACCATCATCAGAGTTATTCATTTGAAACAAATGAATAACTCTGATTGGTGACCTGTCCACATCTGTCACCCCCTGGGATTCATACAGCGCTGTCCAACTCCAACCAAGTTTAATTAAGATTGGTTGGTCCCCTGGATTTCAACTGTTTGTCGAAATATAAGTTTCAGAATACCTATTGGGTCGGTGCTTCAATATCACCTTCTATCTTGGCACAGAAACTTAATTGGTCGGCTTCTGTGACCTATTCAGGGATGGATACTGTCAAACACAGTACAAATATGGGCTTAAAAAAACCCTGACTTTGACTCACACTCTTTCAAACACTCAGTTTAATAATCTACTGATCAACAATCTGAGGGTGAGCCAGGGTAAGACAACATTGTACAAATGTTTTCATTCTTGGTTTATAAGTGTTTAACCATGCACAGAGTATTTTATTCCTTAAAATTATTGCCACAAAAGGGCCACCAATGGTAGGTTGTGAATCATACAACCACCATAGTCCCCCATAAATAGACTCCAGGGCTGAAGTCTGGTTGATGGTGGAACAAACATCCACCAAAAACTATGCCATAACCAACTCAGTGTGTGTTGTGGTTTTGGTAACTTTTTTTGGTTGGTCCCATAAAAGAGACCAAAACTGCCACTATAACTTCCTGGGGTGAAGGCTTAAGTAAACTCATCAATGTGGGCCTATTGTGTGAACACATGCCGCAACCAAGTCCAGGAGTGGTGTGACACTTCAGGACTGGGATGCTGGTTGGTGATTGGCACACTCAGACATACTATAACATTCCAGAGTTAAAATTTATGCCCAAAAGTACCTCAATGACTGACTATATGCAACAATATGCAACAACCAAGACATGGGTGGAGTCACTTCAAGACTTGGTTGAAGGGTTGTATCACACTTAACAGTGCTCCCAAAATCATTTGGAACACTCAGATCACCCATAAGTCCTGAGCGTAAAATGTTATCATAGAAATACACTTAAATATGGGCAACATATTCTACATGTACCAAAACACACAACAACCAAGTCATGGAGGGTGGTGTCACTTCATGACTTGGTTGCAGGGTTGTATCACAGTTAAAAGTGCTCCCAAAATCCTTTGGAACACTCAGATCAGCCAGAAGTCCAGGGTGTAAAAAGTTATGGTAGAAATATGCTCAAATACGGGCAACATTGGCTACATGTACCAAAACACACAACAACCAAGTCATGGAGGGTGGTGTCACTTCATGACTTGGTTGCTTGTTTGTATAACACTCATCAGGGCGCCCAAAATCATTTGGAACACTCAGTTCAGCCATAAGTCCTGGGCGTAAAAAGTTATGGAAGAAATATGCTTAATTACAGGCCTCTTTGGCCACATGGACCAAAACACACAATATCCAAGTCATGGAGGTTTGAGTGTGATACAAACCTAGTTGAAGGTTTGTATCACACTCAATAGTCCTCCCAAAATCATTTGGAAAACTCACATCAGCCAGAAGTCCAGGGCGTAAAAAGTTATGGAAGAAATATGCTTAATTACGGCCCTCTTTGGCCACATGGACCAAAACACACAACATCCAAGTCATGGAGGGTGGTGTCACTTCATGACTTGGTTGAAGGTTTGTATCACACTCAACAGTGCCCCCAAAATCATTTGGAACACTCAGATCAGCCATAAGTCCTGGGCGTAAAAATTTATGGAAGAAATATGCTTAATTTCAGGCCTCTTTGGCTACATGGACCAAAACACACAACATCCAAGTCATGGAGGTTTGAGTGTGATACAAACCTTTGTTGAAGGTTTGTATCACACTCAACAGTGCCCCCAAAATCATTTGGAACACTCAGACCTGGGCGTAAAAAGTTATGGAAGAAATATGCTTAATTACGGGCCTCTTTGGCTACATGGACCAAAACACACAACATCCAAGTCATGGAGGTTTGAGTGTGATACAAACCTTGGTTGAAGGTTTGTATCACACTCAATAGTGCTTCCAAAACCAATTGGGACACTCACATCAGCCATAAGTCCAGGGTGTAAAAAGTTTTGGAAGAAATATGCTTAATTACAGGCCTACACTAACACCAGGTGAGTGTTGAAATTTATTGTGTAACCATCAGACACAACAATGCAAACACATAGCAACCAACCTGCACACAGATGCTATGGCACCATAGCATCATTCAAGGGGGACAGATGCTATGAGACAATGAGCATCTGTCCCCCTTGAATGATGCTTCCTCAGTAGTAATTTTTTACTACCAACCTTAAGCAAAGTGTTCGTTGATTTGGTGTGTAATATATATGTCCACGTGTAATATATATGTCCACATATATATTACACACCAGGTAGACATATATATATTTGTCAATTATTCCTATGCTCATTATTTTATCATTATCAAGGAGTGGACCCAGTATTCTATTTGCGTGGCAAGACATAGTGAACAACCTAGGTCACTATGTCATTAACTCACATACTGACTAAGAGCATCCGCACTCGTTTGCGGTTGTTAATTTGGTCACGTGCGGTAACAAACACAACATTAAGTAAAAAGTTACTTAACTCAACCAAATTTCGCACTCGTTTGCATTAGCAGCGCTGTAACTTTTATAACTTTACAGATAGTGCATGTACTCCGCACCGGTTGTGCAGTAAGGTAAAGTTTTAATTTTTTGAGTACACATCACCTGCTTTCATGGCCAGTTTTCATGTGATAGAGGCACTGTTCTCTTCTTTGCACTAAGATACTAATACTCCATCTACACATGAAGACCCGATATCATCCTGTTCATCTACTCGATCGATAGATCTTAATTTAAAATTACAAATTTAACATGAGTTTGTTCAGATCTTAATACATGAATTCCAATTAAAAAACAAAGGCTTTACTACATCGAGAAAGCTTTTAATGAGTCTGAATACACATAATGATCTTGTAAAAGATTTAAAGAATTTAAAACTAGGAAATAAAAATCCAAACTTCAATTTTTAATTTGTATCACTTGATCCTAAAAGTCCTCCAATGATTGGTCTTTTAATGTTGATTTTCTTAAATATTGACCTCTACATAGCTATATGAATCTAGACATCTTTCATTTTCATCTGAATGGTTTGGAGTCGAGTTCAAGATGGTTGATTGACTTATTTCAATTGAAGACATCGATCGGTGTCGAACGTTCTCGAGTTGATTCATGCAACTGTAAGGCTTGGAATTCATCGTGTGTGAGTGGTGAAAAGGAGATATTGGTTGTTGACTTTGGTGTTGGAGGTCTGGTTGAGTTTTGTTTTTGGAGTCGAGTTGCCGGGAACAAGTCGTGATGTGTGATACCGCATGCGTTAGCCAATTGGTAAATTTACCGATTCGCTAACGCAAAATGACCGAAAATTAACTACCGCGGGGCTAATTTTTCACCGGTGTGGAAAAGACCCCGCGTTTGCGGTAAATTTAACCTTACCGCACCCGACTTACCGCACGAGTGCGGATGCTCTAACCTATGCCAAGAACATATGATGAGTGCTAAACCTAACCCTATTAACGTAACCTACACTTAACTCCGGACAGTTAGGTTTTCCAAACAATGTTCCACCTAGGGGTATGACCCGGCCCTGAAGTGTCAGGGCCGGCCCCGGGGCCGATTCAGGCCCGGCCTCGGCCACGCAATACTCAAGGATGCTGCCGGGCAGCACCGGGCAGGCCCTGGCTCGGACCATCCCCTTGAAAGCGTGTTTGAGAGCTCGGGAAGGATGCTTGATGACGTCAATTTTTCCAAAAGATTGCCTCCATAAAGATTTTTTGCGACGGCCCCGGCCCCGAGTAGCCCTGTACCGGGGCCTTTTTTGCTATTCCCAGGCTGGACTTGAGGCCCCGGGCTCGGCCTCGACCTCACCTAGAAAACGCTCGGGCACACTCGGCCGGTCAGGGCCAGGGCCGGGTCATAGCCCTAGTTCCACCCAAACTTCAGGTAACCCACGAGTCACCTGACCTGGTGTTTCAAATTCAGCCAGTGCACTTCCAACCTCGAATCCAACTCAGCTCTTCGAAAAGTCCAAGATCGACCACACGTTTGAAGGATTTGTCCTACTCCTTACTACCTTCCATTACAATCCTGAAGTCGCTGCTTGACCTGTCTATTGTCGGACTCTGAGCTACGAATAGGCAGGTGATACGGCATTCAGTGTGTGGAATTGGCGGCTGGTACTGGTAATCAACTTTCCATCATCGAAACAATCAGAACAATACAAATCATACAAACGCGATCGATCGCAGGCTCTTGTTGGATATCGCTTGGCTGGCAAGGTAAGTGAATTTATCTTCTCGTTTTAAGTGTTCTCAAAACAACCAACTTACAGTGGACACCGTCTCGTAATTCCAGAATAACCTCAAAACCACCGAACTTACGTCTTCTGTGCGGCGTTCTATTGCCGGGCTCTGCGCTACTACAGATACACGCGAGACACAACGAGGAGAACCAGACGTCGCGTAGGAACGACGTCTTGTTGAAGTGCTATCCTGGGGCACGCGCTAAATTGTTCTGTATCTTGAACAATATTGTGTCAGTTTACTGTCGTTCCCAAAAAGGTTGCCACATCGCCAAAAAAAAATCGTTGAGGTGGTCCGTGCGCGCTGTCAGAATCCGACAAGAGAAGACAGCACAGAACCTCTCTCTCTCTTTCAAAGTCCTTAGCTTTGAAAGAGAGAGAGGGAACCCTCTTTTTGGAATCCACGAATCCAATTCTTTTTCCCCCAGTTTCCGCCAAACCACCTCATCCGTTTTAAAATTTGATTTTTTGATTTCTTATTTAGGTCATTGCTTCAACTCAAGAACAAAAGAAAACAATTGGCTCAACATGGTTCCTTCAACACAAGACTTGGCTTTATTATAACTCCCATATTTAGTTGAACAAATTCCACCACAAAGAAATCGGCTTTCAAAATTCAATTTTCATGGTCTTATTTAAATCTTCTCTTCCACTCAAAAAAAATGATCAATCTGCTTAACCTGGTCCCTTCGACTCAAAACTCGGCATTCCAAATTATAACTTGCAATAATTAGTATTGGTTCATCTTCAACCAATTGGATCTCATCAATTTGCTTTTTTGATATCTTTTTTTCAATCATTTGTTTTCACCTTCAATTAATAGGACACAGTAATTTGTAGTCTTCTTTTGGTCACTGAGTTGCTTTTCAATTGATATCTTAATTTTTTTCAAAGTTTGGTTGTAACAAGTGATTGATAGAAACAGAAACAAGAAACATCTCAATTTCAATAAAGTGAATCGATGTAAACCGATAACAAACGAAGCGGGTTGATGGTCTTTTCAACTAAGTTTGAATTCTTTTCAAGCAAGGTCCATGTCTCATGTTCAAGAAATCATGAGACATGGACCTGTCTGTTTTTCAAAAAGACAGAAAGGTCATATTTTTAGTGCTCGATTTTGTATCAATGTTAGGTCTGAATTGAGGACACCTCAACAGAATATAACTCTCTTAGTGAGAGACAAAGGCTTTTCATCATTGTTAAAGCCCTTTGTGATTGCATCACTTGATTTGATTCTTTTCGGTTGATCGGCTCAATCATTGGATCAATCTGCACCGATTAAATCGATGTGGAAAATTAATAACAAACCAGTAGATTTCATTTTAACAGTCTATCTACTAAACTAAAAAACAAAAGTTTTTCTGCAAAACCAATTTGACTCGGACAGCTTATCATCAATCTAACTGATTTACAGATAACTAGAAAGGCAGACAAATTATCTTCTCAAAAGCCAATCTGAAATGAAAAAACAATTTCATGAGGTTTGAGTCGAACAGGATAAGCAGATGGCTCGGTGGTTTGAGTGATCTGAAGCACTAAAAACAAAAAGAAACAAAGCGAGAGGTTAAATAGGATGTGCTTGTCAATGTCAATGAGGAACTGATGGGACTGAGTTAATCAAACTGGTTTGTTTTTCAATTTGTTTTTCAAGTTCATTTAATTCATCAATCAAAACCTTTTTCTCTAATCTGATTTGATTCATTTCTTCTATACCTTCAACTTCTTCTTCTTCCTGTTCAACTGTTTCTTCTTTATCTACATAAGCTGAATCTCTTTTCTCAATCTAAACCGGAAGCAGAAGAAGAAAAAATTAAGCCCCCCCCACCACCACAAAAAAAAGTTAATTCGATTGGATTTCTTTGAAAGCAAAACAAACAAGAGTTCATGGTTAGTGATTGCTTAAAGTTGTTCTTAAAAGTTGTTCACGAGTTTGTAATCTTTTCAATCCTTCTGATGATTTGATTAATAAAATGTTGATTTCGGGATCCATTTCATTTCTTGCTACAATCGAGCTTGTTTGATTTCTGAAACTGAAACTAATTCAAAAAACTTAGTAAAATTGAATTTTGAAAGTCAACTTTTTTTGTGGGGAATTTGCTGGACTAAATATGGGTCCATTCTCAAATAGTAACTCTTACATTTCTTACTAAAGTTATTCCTTACCTTGCTTAGTTTTTTACTAAGTGAGGTAAGGAAGTAGAAGTGGGCGGTAGGCTCCAGGGGAAGGTTCCCCTTCCCCTGAAACCTGGAGTAGAAAATAGAAACGTGTTAGTAGGTTTCTCTTAGGGGAGAGTTCAAACTACTAGTGTGAACCCTCCTCTAAGTTGTGCGAAACTAGTATTAGGCTATGGGGGTGGGAGGGAGGATCAAAAATAAAATAGATAACTATTTGGAGTATTAAAACTCTAGAATGGATTGTAGATTAGGAGTTGGAAACTAAAGAGATGATGATAAATCAGTGAAATGAATAAATTGGGCTAGAGAACAAAGTCTAATACGAACAACTTGTTATATAACTCTTTTCTAGGACGTGGTCTTAGGACAGCAGGAATTGAGCAGTGACTCATCCTCCTCTAAAGGTCATAGGTCCTAGATCATTTAACCTGATTGGGTTAGAGAGTTCTCTATAAGTTGTCTCTTCCCACATAATTTCACTTTCTAGGAATTGTATCTTCGTAGAGAGCGCGCACTTTCTTTTCCATGGACCAGTCCCACGATGCGTGCCTTTCGTAGGAGGCAAACTTACAATCAAGTGTTAAAGCCGAGTCTTGTGTTGAAGGAACCATGTTGAGCCAATTGTTTTCTTTTGTTTTTGAGTCGAAGCAATAACCTAAATAAGAAATTAAAAATCGAAATTTTAAAACGGACGAGGTGGTTTGGCAGATAATGGGGGAAAAAGAATTGGATTCGTGGATTCCAGAAAGAGGGTTCCCTCTCTCTCTTTCAAAGCTAAGGACTTTGAAAGAGAGAGAGAGGTTCTGTGCTGTCTTCTCTTGTCAGATTCTGACAGCGCGCACGGACCACCTCAACAATTTTTTTTGGCGATGTGGCAACCTTTTTGGGAACGACAGTAGATTCTGCGATTGCTTTCACCCAAGTTCTCGAGGTGCTTCCGATCAAAAAGAAATGATTTATATTGATATATTGATGTCATCAGGTCCGATTTAAAATCGAACGGGTTCGATCCTTTGGACCCGACGCGCTATATCGTTCTCTATCCTCGACAACCTCTTGTAAGTTTAGATACTGCGATTGCTGTCATCCAAGTTGTCTAGTAGCTGTCAAATAAATTGCATTGATTTATATTCATCGATTAATGTCAGGTCCGAGAATCACCTTTGGGGGTCAGCACGACATATATTCTCTGATATCTTTCCTTTAGAACTGTACGTCCATCATCCCCACATCTCACCCACCTACCGTCAAAAACTTCGGGTCATATTATCGGACTGATGCATGGACCTTAGCTTTCGTGTCCATAGGATCGTCACATCATGGGACGCAAGCGGAACCGAGCAGCCCAAAGGGCAGCAGGAGGAAAGCCCGCGAATTATCAATTGAAAACATCGCCTTCTTACCGCAAATATCAGCACAATCGGGAGAAGAAAGGAGGTATTGGACATGCATTCTATCGTTTTCACCAAAAGCGTACAGCCATCAAGTGTCAATTGGCCACGGAACTCGGGCTACCACTCAACACCAAGTTCATTTTCCGTTTGGGACCCCACGATCGAAAGGATACTGACAAAGTGAAAGACATCGAAATTTCTCACGGAACTGTTGCAGTTATCAACAAAGCGGACCTGTCTTTAGTCCTAGCTGTTCGATGTTCAAGGTTTCGCACGATGGATGATGACCTGAGAAAGCAATTCAATCATTCTATATCCACCATCTTCCAGCACGCACAAGCACGTTACGAATGTAAAATCAACGGCTCTCACAAAGATAAGAACAACCTCAAACATCCCAATGACCAACAATATGAACATGATCACCGAGATGATGAACATGTTTGTGGTTGGATGGGGTGTTGTGGATGGCAAGGTGGAACAGATCCGGGCAAATCACTTGGTTAGTAATTTTGCTATCTGACTCTCATTCAGCACGTCACATGTGAAGATACACTAATGATATCACTGTTGTGATATCATGATGTAGGTGCCTATGCTATGGCCGCCTTTACCGCAACTTCCATAGATCGCATGTTAACCAACAAGCAACGGATGGAACGATTTCATATCATCCGTGATTTCCTAGCAGGCCGATTTGCAAGCCTTTCACTATATGTATTCAAAACGAACCTTGCCCTTGGCCTCACTACAAATGTCCCTGGTTTTGACGACGAGAAGTGGCAGGATACGCCTAATGGTTTGGTTTTTGCGTCTAACATCGCAGTATCATGTGATGGTTTTGCCAATCGCGTGCATACCGACAAGGATCACACCCGATATGCCTTTGGCCTTTTTGGACTCATCATTAGGGCGACCGGGGTTCCATGCAGCCAGGAAGAGGCAAAGTTACTAGGATCGGTTGAAGATCTGTACTTTGTAGTGAAGGACTTTGGCATTAAGATTGCTTTGAGTCGTTGCAATGGCCTGTATGAGATGTTATGGGATACTAAAGTAAGTACACTCATCATACATCATACTTGATGAGAATATTGATCAAACACTCCATCAGATTCCCCATTATACGACATCCTCGTGTTCACTTGATGAAAAAGGAAAGGCAGTACCCCCAAAAGAGTGTAAAGTCACCCAATTCGGATCATCTTGTCAAATTTCCGAAACCCTTGTCAATCGGATCCAACTACTCGAGAATGAGA